CCACAGTGGCGCATCCTGGTAACGCAGCAGATGCGCATAACCACATCATCCAAAGTCTGACTCCAGCTGGGGACCTCTGTGGCTGGCTGTGGTCTCTCTCACCCTGTTTGCACAGAGATACTGGTGTTAGTCTGGCTCTTCCTTATTACAGCTTTGCCTGTTTACACTGAACTAAAACTAAAGCTGGCATAATGCCACCCTGTGTTCTTTTAACACAGATATCCTGGTATTAGAGGCTTTAACGTAACATCCAGTGTAATAGTCTCAATGCCCACAAAGATGAAGAAGTCTGTTTCTGGTTGGCGACTAGTTCAGACGCCCACTGAGGGACCAACAGGTGTTCATACCAAACGCCGCCTAATCCTGACCTCAGTAATACACCAGCTGCTCTGAAAATTTTACACTGTGGTGAGAAACCCTGCTTTCTGACTGGCTGATGGGCGACACTGCAGCAGCTAGAACTCATGTTAGACAGAAAAAACATCAGGCTGGCTTTCTCTTTGGTCGGTGTGACCGAGGTAAACAGCTGCCGAGCTGTTAGCTGAACTAACAGAGGGGGCACGGCGATCCCACATCTAGAAAGGCCATAAGACCTCAGGGATTCTCATTAAACCACTACAACACAAAGCTACACAATCACAAATGTTTACTTACTTTCCCTCAACTTTATTTGGCCCAAAACTGGAACAACTACATCGAGTTATTGGGTATTACAACTGATGGACTGCACTTCCATACACCATCTACCTTACCTGGACAAAGGGTTTTACAGATTCACCCACACCAAATGCAGCAGAGCTGCCATGCAAGGTGCTGGCCTGGCCACCGGGAGGGACTCGGGGTTCAGTGTCTTGCCCAAGAAGACCGTTTCTCATCAACTCAAGCATTTTAGCATATTACTGTGGGGCGACTGTAGTTCAGTGGGTAGAGCAGTCGTCTTCCAACCGAGGGTCGGAGGTTTGAATCTCAGTGCCTGCAGTCCACATGTCGAAGTGTCCTTGGGCAAGACATTGAACGTTGCCCCCGATGGTTAGAGCCATCGGTTGAGTTGGTGCTGCAGATGGCTGCCTCGGTTCTGTACCGGAAACAAATTCCTTGTGTGCAACATACTTGGCCAATCAAGGTGATTATTGTTAAGACATAGTTGTTAGATAATGTCAGTGCACTAATATGGAAAATTCATTGGCATCCTCTTACTGTTGAGTCACATGACCTACAAAACCCTGACTGGTTCAGAACAAGGCAGAAACCGTTTCTATACATTGTACTAAAATGACTGAATGCACAATAGACTGTCCTGGTTTCCTGTACAAGTCCTCAACTGCCACACATACACAGATTTAACTGAAGGTTATGAATATTGAAACATCTGAAAATTGCAAAGTTGTGTTTCCCCACACCACCACACCCAGAACGGATGTGACTCCTCTATAAAGGAATAGTAGAGTTGCACAATAACCTACACATTTTTCAGATTGTTTCATAGGGGAGGGTGACTTGAGGTATGGTATTGGTGTCCATCAAAACCAAGGGCTTTGGGGGGGGGGTATGAATTGTATGGCTGGTGAATTTGATGGCGATCTAACTCCAATTCACTCATGTATGAGCAGCTATACAAGCTGCTCACACAGCAGGACAGGAGCACATATGCAAGTGGGCCAGATCTAATCTGATTTGGTTTGTTCACACTTCTGTGGAAACATCAGGTCTGAGGTCATCTGAGGAGGTAAAATTTGGGTGGGTTCCTTATTTATTCCCATAATCTGATTTGGTTTGTTCACACTTCTGTGGAAACATCAGGTCTGAGGTCATCTGAGGAGGTAAAATTTGGGTGGGTTCCTTATTTATTCCCATTAAATGCATCTGTCAGATACTCCCACCAGGAAGAACACAGCATGACTTCATTGGTTGTTGAAACACACAACTACCTCAACTCTGAGTCGGTTAAACACTGCAAGTGTCAGTGTGCTGCTAAAACAGATATGTAAGATCAGACAGGACATCTGCTGAAACCTGCAAGACCATCACAACTCTGGGAAAGCCAGTTCAATGTGAAAGAAAACCTGAGCAGTTTATCAAACACAGCTTCAGGCCATCCCGTGAATCCCCGCACCGTTTCCACAGAGGCCAAACCCTGAACAGCCTCCGTGAATCAGCTGCCTGTCGGTGTGAATGTTTGTCACATGCAGATGAAGCATTTCCCCTTTTAGCAGCGAAGGACGCGGTGATCTCTTCACCCCACACAAGCACTGGTCAGATTACCACAGTGTGCATGTGTGCGTGCATGTCCCCACACAGTGAATGACCCAGGGTCGTGTGTGTTCCTCTGTGGACATTTCCGTGTTTATTTGTGGACAGCACAGCAGCTGCAGATCAGTGTTGCCCCCTGCCGCTGACGCACACACAGGTTGTGTTTATACAGGCATCAACTACTTCACTACATCTTCTCTGAAGCCTCATTCAGACCATCAGAGGGGAGGCGTGGAAAAAAAAATCTTCACGTTCTAACCCTGGTGAAGTGACGTGACATAGGTACAGATTCACAAAGATATTTGAGACTGTTTCATACTGTTGGGCCAGTCTTAAGTCAAGTCTTTGGTTCATTTCAATCCTAAAAGGTTGGACACGCTAGATTAAACCAGCCCTGAAGTTTTATTTACTGCTGAATTCTTTACTTTGTCCTGTGAAATTCTTCTTGGACTAAGCTGTGCTGTCTGACCATAGACTGTATATAAAGATGGCCGACATGACAACTCCCAGCAGTGAAGCCACTGCGTGTCCATCTCCCCCAGGGGTGATTTCTGTCATATTTGGTAGATATCATCACACTGATGTGTATCTAAATGTATTTCAATCTGATGCTGTCAAACTGCTTCTGGTCACTGCTGCACAGTCTGGTTGCAAAATGCCAAGATGGCAGCTGCCGTATTCATTACACTTTGGCATTCGATTTTGCATAATAGAGGGAAGTTGTGACACGTCATCTGTCTTTACATACAGGCTGTGTGTTTGACATAGCTCCTCTGATTTTGTTTGTCTGAAAAAGTCTTTTTTGCCCAAAATGAACAGAAAACCATGTCTGAATAATGAACATAGCCAACAACAGGATTTTGGCGTTCACTAGATGACCAGACATGATGCAATGTTCTGTACAAGAAAAGTGGACACAAGATTATTAAGAGAGAGCATGTGGCCAATGCAATACGGAGTATGTATGTAACTATAGCCCCTTTTTCACCACCTGGTACTGGCTCAACTCAACTCGCTTTTAGTACCAGGAGCTTTGTTTTCCACTGCAGACAGTCGCCCTCAGTGTAGCTGGTTGTCACAGCGGCACCAAGTGAAACTGTCATGAAGCTGTCGGCCCGCGGAGTAAGGCCGGGCTCAAAGCTGTTATCAGTTTCATCCTAGGACTGTTATTATGCCACTTTATTAAGTTTTGATAGTTTTTTTTTTTCCAGGTGAGAAAATAACCATCTAGTTTTCAAATTTGTCTTAAATCAATCCAAGAAATGTGCTTCGATGTTTTTAGAGCCATGATAACCCACCAACGTGCCAGCTAGCTAGCGCTACTTAGCTGTAGCTGTTGTGCTCCTATTATCACATTCAGTAACCTGTGGGCTACGTGATGAGATGTACAATGGTTCACGTAATGTAACAATTATATAGTAACAGAGGCTCAAGGCCTCTGTCAACGTACGATTTATGCTCTATAACACGCACACGAGAAAAAAGTGGCAGCTACTAATATGAACAAACGAAGAACAAGCAGCTGGTGTCATCACATGTAAACATCTGGATTCATTGGCGGCCACGTAGTAGTGGTGAATTTCTCTAACCAATTGGTACCCTTTGGTATCACCTCAGCTCAGCTGGAACCTTGACAAAGGTGATACCAAACGTAGTCCCAGGTACCATCCCCAACATTTGACTGATGGAAAAACAAAGGCGGCGAGTTGAGCCAGTACCAGACTGTGGACAAAGGTCTTTAGTAAATGTAAATGCCTGACTGGCACTGGTTCCACAGCTGCTCTGCCTGTTCCTTGGCCTGCCGCCCTCCCTTACCGACTGGACCAGAATTCCAGTCCTGTGCTGCAACTGATCTGACCTAATTTAAAAGCACAGCTTGGCTCCCATTCAGGGCAGCTGTGACTTGATGCTGTCTGTGTTCTGTCTCTCTCGTTTGAGTGATCACTGCTTGTGACTACTCGCTGTACACAGTGCTTAGTTTTTTCCTGTATTCACTACTTAGTGATTACTTGCTGTACAGTGAGTAATCACTAAGGTTCTGTATTTGTTGTGTAGAGAATCCTCATAATGCCATTTGCTTATGTTGTTGTTTGGGCTCTTTGTTCTCTTCTGTAGCCTGTTCTTTCAGTTATCATTTGGAAAAACACCCCTGTCATTTTAATAATAAAATAAATAAATACAACTTTGCTAACCTCCAACATCAGGTTACTTAGCTTTCTTCCCTTTTCTCCAACAAGCTGGATGCAACACAGACATTATTCAATGGTGAAACTGAAATAGCAATAGATCCAATGGCAGTGTTGTATAAATGTCCTTCAATCCTGTATGGCTGGTTCGATGTACATCCAACTACTTACTAGGAAGCTTAGATGTGTTCACTACAGAATGTTCATTCCTCAGCACATGTATTTTGGTAATGACCCAACTGCGATAACACACATTTTGCATTACTGTGGATCTCCAAGCAAAGCCTAGCTATTAGTTTGACCCAGACCAAAGTTAAAGCCTCTCTTTGTGAAACCAGACCATTATTCTGTTAACTGACCTGGACAAAGACAAACGTCTCCCCAGGGAGCAAAGCAGAAACAAAGGGGAAGCAGAGATACTGAGGTGAACCAGAGTGAAAGACTCTGAGATGCACTTTAAATTCAAGGAAGTGGCTCTGGACAGTATTTAAACGACAAGAGGAGCAGACGGTTCACTGACAGTTCACAGACAAGCAGAAGTTATTACTGAGAAGGGCGTGAGAAATGACTGAGCAGAGCAGGTGATCAGAAAACCACAGCTTCTCTAAAGATGGAAATTCACATTAGAAATCTTCTAAAATCAAAACACAGCTTTTCAAAGAAGTGATACGAGTCTCTGAGAAATCTTAAGAACAAGGTGAAGTACTGTACTGTGTTTTATTTGTGTGTCACCTCTTGCAGCAGCTCGTTTTCCTCCATGTACTTCTTGGCGGCGGTGCTGGCGCCCTCCGCCTGCTTCTTGAAGGCTTCATTGGAGGCCATGAGTGAGGCCTGCTGGGAGAGTAGTGTGGCCAGACGGCGCAGCAACCTACAACACAAACACGCAACGCCCAGTCAGCATAGTGATCCTATACTGTCAGGCCTCCCATGTTCCCTAAGGAGGAAACCTGCCCCCCCAGTGCAGCGGTGTGTCACACTGGGGGGGTCTAATAGCTGGTGGACAACAGCGAAGGTCTATGGCACAGGGCGATAAGCTGACCCAGGGTCTGGACTCACACACATTACGGTGAGGACACCACATTCACTGGTGCTGCTGGTCACTGGACGGGGTTGGTGGGAATGACAAACACACAAAATGACCAGTTGTGTCCTTTAAAAAGAATGAACAACACAGTTGCCTATTCACTTTCCATCAATCAGCTATTTGACTGAAGCTGATCTGAGTTTGTCAGGATTCGAACCACTTTATCTACAAACAGATGATGACTGTAGCTGCAGTGACACCAACGGCTGGAGTCTGAAACAAAGACTCAGCAAAGTGAGAACAACAAAACCTGAGGCACATTGCTGCATCAAGCTCTTACACGCCTCCATACGCGCGTCTCCAACAGTAAATCAGCCATCAGCCTTTCACTCACCCACACACACACACACACACAGTTACCCCCGACATTTCCCGGTGACGTAGTGGTGAGTCACACGGGGTGCACAGGCCTGCAGTGGGCAGCTAGAGGGGTACATATGGAGAACAACTGCCCCCATTCTAGTAAATCAAAGGTAAGTGATGAGCTGCTGGGCCTGACTAAAGGATGTCTCACACTGCTCAGTTTAACAACTCGACCTCGTTCTTACCAAGTAGAGACCAGGGTTCTTATCACCAACATTAATGCAAGACTTTTTAATAGCACACAGAACTAAGTGAATACCTTACTCACAGTCCCACTGGCCGACTGTCTCTGTGGTGATTTTGCACGTCTTTCTGGTCGTTTCTCTGAGTGACCTACAGTACTTTTATTCCTGTCATTACATTGAAACAATTCCTTCCTTAATACCCCAACCCTGTGAAAGTACAACCAGTGTAAATGCACAGGCCTACTGTAGGTACACACTCGCTGCATGAGTAAATGTCAAAAGTGCAATCAGCTTTGTTTTACTAGCACCTACAGTATAAGTCATGTGACTGTACTCTGATAAACAAGAACGTAAAGTGTTATAAAAGGCAGCTGGGCCTTGTGCAGATGCTCCGGTCCACATGACACACAACAAATATCTACTGAAATATAAGATACTCATGAAGTAGCACAAGCTGGTCTCTGCTGGGAAAAACTGGAAGCCAACATGCATAACTTCCACATCGGAGCAGCCAAGTTTCTCCGGATGCATGGCCCAACTACTCACTGACATTTATGACAGAGTGGACTGTGCTTCCAAGTGTACAGATGCATGGAAATGTAATGCTGACAGACTGAGGTTTCAACACATCTTCAAACCCAAGACAGCTCAAAAGGCTTCGTTAGGCTCAAAAGAATAATGCTGAAATATTTCTGCACTTTTCAACTACAAGGTCTGGTATTTTTCTGTCACTGTCAACAAAGTGTTAGTTCATCTCTCAACACTTTGACCTCTTGTCTGTGGCTCTCACCTCCAAGCCCATTGGTTCCTACTGAAGACGTAAACCTCTCAAGGTGCGTTAACTCAGACTTTGTGACAGAGGACAGGACGTGGACTTTACTTTTGTGTTGAATCGGTATGATTTGAGCTTTGTGGTGTCAGTTTGTTTTGAGTGTCACCAGACCCTCCAGGCTGAAGACACATTAGGAAGAGTATGCTGAAAACACCTCACAAATGTAGAACTGTATTTCTAAAAGACTCAGCAAATTTCTAAATTAGCTGCTCACTGTGGTTTTAACTCAAGCAAGCAGGAGAAAATGATGCACTTGCTGGGGTCTATTTCCAGCAGTGGATGATTCCAAATTTGGGCTTTATAGAGTACTCGGGCCAGCAGGAAGCTCTGTGTGGTTCAGTGTGTACCGTGTCTTCATGGAAATGAAGAGACCTGCCCCCCAGTGCAGCGGTGTGGCTCAGCAAGGTGGGGTTAATAGCTGGTGGACCTTCACTGTGGAGGTCTATGGCACAGACCATTAAGCTGAACCAGGGTCTGGACTCTCACACATTACAGTGAGGACACCACATTCACTGGTGGGATTTATGCAAAATAACACAAAGCACAAAGTCACCAGCTGCATCCTTTAAAGCACACCTCCTGTGATGCTGCGGTCTGTCGGAGCTGAAGAGAATTTTTCAGCAAACAGACATTTCTGTGTATCAATGTCAGAGGGAAACTGTTCCCCGCACTGCTCTACAGTGCAGTAGTTAATTATTAGAACAACATACAAAAGGAGATTTTCCTGTCTGAAGGACATTGATACTCGTGGTTCCAAATATGACCAGGCCTCACTCGTTCCAGAAACTTGTCTATTTGTTCTTGTTGGCAGAAGCTGGAAATTCCCGAGTCATGGGCCCAGATGACAGCAGCCCGTCTGAGGGCTCAGTCTAAACGCGGGAACACTTGGTCCTGGACTCTGTTATAACAGCTGCTGTATCACATGCTGTCCTTCTGTGGTGATTCACAGGGCAGCTGTTGAATAACACACAAACACTGACCCATCTGACCCCACACAGCAGTCACCGACACCCCCTACAGGCAGAAAACAGTGACATGGGACTCATTTTTGTGCCGTTTGTCAGGTCTTTTTCTTCCTTTCTAGCTTTATTTAACCAGGTTCCTTTGAGAATTGAAATCTCATTTGCAAAAAAGACCTGGGAGCTTTGCAAAGTAGAATTAAGAAACCCAGGGTAACAAGACAAAGCAAGGCTTGACCTAGTCTGCGAAGGGGATCCTGGTTTAATATGCTTCATGAAGACTAAGCCAGTTTGAGGAGGTGCGGCTTGGTCAAGCCAGGTCTAAGTAATTCGGATGAATGCGTGTTCACGGCTTTCTTCAACAGACCGCCGATTCACTGATACTGACGTAGAAGCTGCGCTCCACGGGACGTGTTAGTGTCGTTAAAACGAACGGACTCCACGCCCAACTGGCACGAACGGCACCGTGCTGGTCGGGTTTTGAGCACACCCATCGAAGATGCCTGCAGCATATTTCAGACCCACAGAGCATGCGCACTGATGGACACTTATGGAGAATTAAAGCACATAACCTGTAAAACCAGAAACAAGCTACTGTAATAAAACTGTGAGACCAAGCGTGGCAAGAGGCAGCAGACCGACCGTGTGAAGTCGCCTAAAATATACATCTACTAACCACTGTTCTTAACTGGTGGACTTCAAAGACTATTTAATGAAAGGGAAGGGGGATACAATCTAAGGGGTCAGTTAAATTTAAAAATTCATGCTATACGTACAACCAAAAAAAGATTCTGTATTTCCATAAGTGGGGTAAAACTATGGAATAATTTAAGTGTGGACATAAAAAATAGTAATAGAATTGACGAGTTTAAACATAAATATAAAGGTATGTGTCAATCAAGATATATGTAAGAACAGGTTTAATGATTAATTAGATGGAACATTGTGGGTGTGGTGTATGAATGTTAACACTATGTAATAATTCTTTAGTTTATTACTTGTGTGGTGTAGAAGAGAATTATCTATGTAGGCCTGTTTTGGGTGATTGATCCCTTTTATATTACTAATAATTAGCTAGTTTTTATTTCAGTGTTCTATTTAATACAGCCTATGTCATTAATGTAAATGTGAATGAGAGTGAAGTAACTCATGAAAGAAAACTGTAAATGAAATGTGGCCACTATGTCTCCAGGTCCATGGAGGCTGATGGTCAAAGGGACATTTCCTTGAACTTATTTGCCAATAATAAGATTGAACACTAGATGATTAAACTTCGTTTTAACCATGCTAGCACAGTCTTTATGTATTCAACATAGCCAGTGTAAGCAGCATGATGATGACAACTTTAAAGATTTTTAAATAAAAAAAATTTAAAAAAAGCTCAGTGTTAGTACTTTCACCGTTTTGTGAAATGACCCATATAAGAACTTAATATGTGGCAGCACAAAACAACTGAAATCAGTCTCTTCCTGTAACCATCAGTGAGTTTCTTCCACCTCTCTACTGGAGTTGTGGACCTCTCTTCTTCTGCCGACTGCTCCAGGTCTCAGATTTGAAGACTTCCTTCTCCCAGCTGCAGGTCTGAGATCTCCTCACAGGAGCTCTATGGGATTTAGATCTGGACTCATTGCTGGCCACTTCAGAACTCTCCAGCTCATTGTCTGAACCCATTTCTGTTGCTTTGTGAGGTCTGCTTTGGGTCATTATCCTGCTGCGAGACCATGCCCTCTGACGGAGACCCAGCTTTCTGAGACTGGGCCCTACATTGAGCCCCAGAACTCATTGGTAGTCTTCAGATTTCATAATGCCATATACACAGTCAAGACATCCAGTGGCTGAAGCAGCCCCAGAACATCAGTGACCCTCCACCATGTCTGACTGTAGGGACCGTGTTCTTTTCTCTGAAGCCCTCATTTCATTTTCTGAAAACAGTGGAATGATGTCCTCAAGCATAAAGCTCTACTTTAGTCTCATCTGTCCACAGGACATTCTCCCAGCAGGACTGTGGCTTCCTCAGGTCAGTGTTGGCAAACTCCAGTCTGACTTTTTTATGTTTCTGTAACAGAAGTGAGTCCCCTGGGTCTCCTACCATAGGGTCCCTTGTCATTCAGATGGTGACGGATAGCGCGAGCTGACACTGTTGCACCCTGTGTCTGCAGGTCAGCTTGGATTTGTTGGGAAGTTGGTCGAGCTTCTTTATCCACCATTAGAACAATCCTTCATTGCAATCTGTCATCTAGTTTCCTCTTTCGTCCACGTCCAGGGAGATTAGCTACGGCGCCGTGGGCTGTAGGCTTCCTGACAATGTTGTGCACAGTGGACACAGGAGCAGCCAGATCTCTGGAGACAGACTTGGAGCCTCGAGACTGTCCATGATTTTCCACTATAGTGGTTCTCAAATCCTCAGCTAATTCTTTGCTCTTCTTCCTTTTCTCCATGCTCAGTGTGGTCCACACCACACAAAGGTCGAGTCAACTTTTCTCCATTTTAACTAGTTGCTAGTGTGATTTCTGTGTTGTCAGAACCTGTTGATTGCTACAGATGTTTCATTACAAATTAAAGGAGCATCTCAGGCTTGAAATACACCCATTTCTGATGATTTTGAAAAGGTGTCAGTAATTCTGTCCAGTCCATTCTTGTAGTTCTGTGTGGACTGGATCAGATTTGGCCCTTTTCTCTGTTTTTTTGTCTTGTTCCAATGCAAACAAAGAAATAACCATGAGAATACCAAAGGCTATGACTGCAACAGTTTTCTGAGTTAAGTGGTGCATTGTTTGACAGAAATGCAGGGTGACATCAAACTAAAAAAGGGCAGGCCATTGTAAAGGAAGACACACACATACAGTAGATTGACTTCACTGAAGACGCCTGTGCAGCTTGATCCCCCGTCTCTAATCACCTCAACAGCTGCCATAAAATTCTAACTTCTAACAATACTGTATAATAAATAAACTGTCAGTAACAATGACTACCACATTGTACAGTTCAACTGTAAAAGAATTCGCTGGGTTCTGAGCGGTCGCTGCTGACAGAACCAATAAAGCACCAGGATTACTCAAGCCTGGCTGTTAGCCTGGTCTGGAGCAGGCCAGCTGCACAGAATAAATCTCCATAGTAACTTAATTTAACCTGCTTTTTTTTTCAACTGAGTCAGGGCTAAATTCAGCCTGGATAAATGGAAAATCCCGGCTGAACCTCCCCCCCGGCCTCAATAGCAGCAACAAAAACAACACAACAGAACTCAACCACACACTCACATGAACTTATGGAGGTAGAATAATAGTGGCTTTGTAAATTAAGAAAGGCATCAGTGGAGTGGTTAAAAACAACTTTGATAGCTGCTAGTTTGTTTTCTTCAAGTTAAAATCTGTCTAAAGTCACCCAGCATATCTTTGTCTTTCACCAACATCTAATCAGTTCCTTACATCCAACTGGACATTTGTGCCAAATTAGAAAAAAAAAAATCCCCTCAAATCATCACTGAGATATTGCATTAACAAGAATGAGACGAAGAACCTGAAAACATCACTCCTCTGGTCACAGCCATCGCCAGTACTGGGGCCTAATAACACAGAGTGGCAGCAACTTTGAAGTGTCTTTGCATCCTAAAATCAGCCGGGGAGTTACTCGACAGCAATGAGTTCCAACCTGGCACTCGGTGATAAACTGTGCTGACAAACTGTGGACACTCGCACGCCATCACAGAGGGCTATCAACAGTAAGCGTAGCAGATACCGTTTTTTTCTTGCAGTAAAATAAAACATTTATTTCTGAAACAAAGCCGACTTTTTTTTTTTAACAAGGTTGACAACGTGAAGTTTAAAGGGCAACTACTCAGCCTCATTCTGTTCTCCCAGCGGATTTATAAAATGCAATTGAGGAGCAACGAGTAGCGGCGTGGCCTCGTCACTGTGTAAAGGACACCGACCACTGCTCACAGTGGCATGAACACAGTCAGAGCCAACAGCCTTGGTATTTCCTTTTCTCTGCAGGAGAGACAGGGAGTCTGGTGGAGCTCTGAAAGTCACTCCAAACATATTCATGTCCCTTTGAGAGAGTCACTGTGTGGACACCTGTGGTGTAGCTGAACTACAAGAGGCCTCATCCATGTGCTTCATCTAGGGAGTGTCAGTAATGTGGCAGCGCTGTTTGTCACAGTTACTGTTAGTCAGCTCCAAATATCTTAAGCTCTGAAAACAGCAGACTCATCTGCGTGTTGTGATACTGCCTCTGCCGAGCAACAAGCCCAGTTTATATACACAACATAACGTTAGCTTCATCATGCTTGCTAATGCTAACAGGTGGTGGAGGCAGGAGGCTGGTGAGAAAAAGAAAAAAAGACCTCTGAGTCTTGTCTAGAAAAAGAATGATCAGTCAAAACCACGGTACTTAGGAGAGGAAGTGGGCCAGGCACTACATGAAACCCAGTTTTGAAGAGGGGAAACATCTTGACGGGGAACACTATAACACATGACCGGCACTTTTCACTGCATCTCGCCCGGACAGCGGGAGCAGGGGACGGTGACAAAGAGCTCCAGCAAAAAAGAGCTTTGGTCCACCAGAAGCAAAAATAAATTACAGTTTAGGTGGTCCAAAATAATCCTATTCGATTTAGTTTTATCAATTCCAATCATAAAATTAACCAAGTTAAAAACAATAAAAGGGGACAGAGGATACATTGTCAGTGTGTGTCTCTTACAGGCAGAGGAGCAGGGCGAAGCCAGCGATGTACTCATTCCTCTGAGCTCTGAATAGTTTCATGTGGATGTGTTCGACAGCTGTTGGGTTATTGGCTAGATCCACCTTCTCTGTCACACTGTACTTCCTCACCTCACGAAATGCATCTGCAAACACACACACACGTTAAAAGACATGAGGATCACCATCATTCTGTTGCCTACAATGTGAGTTCTGTGTTGCACAGTTACATTTTACATGAGAAGAGCCCAGTTGCATAATGGTTAAAAAAAACCAGTCACGTTACATAGCAAACATACCAATGAGCAGGAAGACGAGGATGGCGATGGCCACCATGAACCAAGTGTTTCCATAGAGCGCAATGGCCTGGATGATGCGAGACTTGAAGATCTTATTCCACCTGCAGGATCAAATTCAGAGCCATCAGAACCCAGTAGAAAACAGGCACAAAGAGCATAATGAAATACAGTACAACATGACAAACACAACAGCACAGCTGACCCGTTCGTAAACCTGGAGCTCCAGTGGCGCCATCTTGTGGCCTTAGACAACTCACACTAGAAAGTTTCTCAGCCCTCATGCTATCCCTGCCAGTGACTCACACCTGATGTGTCCACAGCAGTGTGAACTAAAGAACTATGGACAGCTTCAACCACTGACTCTATATGAAACATGAACTAACCCACTTCGACATCACCCATTGGTTTTCTGAAGGTCTGACAGGAACTAGCAAGAGAGATCATATCTCTCCCATATTAGCTTCTCTCCACTGGCTCCCTGTAAAATTCAGAATAGAATTTAAAATCCTTCTCCTAACATACAAAGCCCTTAATGACAAGGCTCCATCGTATCTTAAAGACCTCGTAGAGCCTTATCATCCTAACAGAGCACTTCGCTCTCAGAGTGCAGGTTTACTTGTGGTTCACAAAGTCCAGAGAAGTAGAATGGGAGGCAGAGCTCCAACATCCAGGGAAAGGCTGTTTAAATGACAAAGGACCTAAAGTTCTGCATCGAAACAGTTCAGTACAAATACATGAAACCATATGCCCATAATATTTACAGTAAAACTAATGACATTTTGTTGTCATCTCTCAGCAGCCTCTGTAATGAAAGTAAGCACCACATCTATTCTTCTGATAAAAGCCGCTGTCATGCTCAGTGTCACCTGCTGTTTATCAAAGTGAAGCAGGACAGGCGAGTACTGGAGATGGCCGTCTGACACCGATGCAAGCTTCAAACTGGAAGCGACATTTCCCTTGAACCACTGCTTCGAAGCTTTCTTTGGTGCGGAAACACGTGACCAATGATGTCCGAAGCAGAAACTGCTTCATTCCCCTGAGTGAATCATGTGACTGTTCCAAACCAGTCGATACTGCTTCTTAGTGCGAGACGCTTTGTAAAGTGAAAAATATTGTTTCTCAATAAAAATCTTTGAATCTCCATCCCACTTACATAATCACACCCTACCACCCTAGCACATGCTGTGTTTCCCCAAGCACGCCTTCTCCCATCTACTGAGTTTATAGAATCAACCAACCGATCAATCAATCTTTACAAAAATGTATTTACATCATTCACACAAACCCTAGTTCCACTCATCACATCATTATGAAGACATTGTTTTGGTGTCTCCTATTTCACCACCAGATGTCACTGAAACAAAGCTTTGAATGAATGAACCCATTGTCAAGACAACTGATGAAGTGGTTCGATACTGGGTCATTGCTTCATCTGCACATCAATATCAAGTACAGGACAGGTGTGTACTGACCTCCTGGGTGAGATGAAGGGGATACAGAGCAGCAGAACAAAGAAGACCTCAGTGTACAGGAAGGCGGCCACTGCCATCCACTGCAGACTCATCCTGACCCCTGAACAGGACACACAAAGAACCAGCTCATGTGTCAGAATGCACATCTTTATGTAGGTGAAAGGTCCAAAAGAGGCTGAGTTAGACAGCAACATATCTTCATGTACCAACATTTACTTTTATTTGGCAAGGACAACAAATAAACACTGCTACTCACAGCTAAGGATTGCAATAGATGTTGTGCATTGAGGGTGTCTAGCTAAAACTAATCTGCAGTCCCATTAGGGCAAATATCACCCTGCAACTAGATTTAAACTGGTGCTGCAACTAACAAGTGTTTACACTCAGAGAATTGTTTACTTTTTGGTTATTTGGTAAACTGAACAAAAATGACACATGGCCATTTGGTAATGGTGAAATGATACTGCTAGCTCATGGATCACTATAATACAAGGTTCACAGTTTCATGCACACACACACAATAGCTTTGCCAGACTTTAAAGGTAGAGTTGGCGATTCCTTCCAGAAGCATTTTGATTACATTTCATTTCTTGAATTCCTCTTTTCATACTGATGGCAATAAATACATTAAATGCACTGATCCCATAAAGAAAAAAGTCTGTGGCATCTGAGGCAGCAGCAGGGCTGGAAAAAGCCCAAGCAAAGCCATTGGACGGCATACCTGCTTGACAACCTACTTCCTGCTTGCATGAACTCTGTCCGTGCACTCAATGCACGAGCCAAGAGCCTCCCACAAGGTGTTGAAGTTGCAGGCAGAAATGTTATCACGAAATATGGCAGAGAGAGTACCCACAGCAGCTTTCATTCGCAGACAGAGATCATTGCTACAGGCCTTCCCCTGCATCCAGACAGTAGTCGGCTCTAATGCGGTTAAGTGGATATCAAAGGCCACTGCAATGCTCGTGTTACCAAGATGGAATAAAGCCTGTGTTCTGAACAGAGTTAGCCGGCCTCCCTCTTCACTTCTCCCAGCCGGAAAAATCCAACTTCTTGGGCTAATTACCGGCTACGAGCATATAAGTTAGCTTAGCCATGAACCAGAGGTCCCCAGTTCGGGGCCGCAGATCTGGGCGGGTAACACCATATTCAAGAAAGTTACAACTAAAAAGAAATTGGATGCTGCAAGAACTAAAACCAGAATTAACATCAGTGTGGCTTCTGAATGAGGCAGAGAACAGAGAACAAAAGGGGCTGGTGGCCGTGTTTCTGCTGGACAGGTAACGATGGCTGGCTTTGCTTTGCTTTGTATGGGAGGTGTCTGTTATTTTCCTGAAATCTCTAAGTAGTAGTGAGGCAGTGCACGTTGTGTTTCGGTGGGTTGGCTTTGTAGAGAGGTCACAACAAAAGGGTGGGATTTCTTCAGTTGGCTACTTTCAAATCCAGCTTCCTCTTAAGATTTTTCCAGGATCGCCAACCCTGCCTTTAACTAAAACAAACTAAAGTGATACACCATATGCACCTGCAGAATCCACTTATTGTAAACAGTTATTAAAACAAACAAGACATTTAGGAAATTAACAGAGGACAGGCAATTCTGTCCTTTGAGTAACAAAGGCTAATAGCTATTTTAAAAGGCCTATTATTGTGTACTTGGTCTGCAATGCATGACACAGCACTGCATCTCTTGCTAACGCTGCTCAGGCTACGGTTATACAGCTTTTACATCAAAACACAAATATTAAGCCAACCACTGTGCAGACACAGACTCTGCGTTTCATATTACCATAGACAATGACACCAAACAGGAGCGTTTTCATGTTTTAGTCTGTAGCACTTGGACGAAAACAAAACAATAGCATCTAATTGACTAATCATCGCTATTAACGTTTGTTATGTTTGCTGGAATAAGAAAATTAGCTCAGGTTATCTGGGGGAAAATGGCTGCTAACGTTGGGTTAGCCCGTAAACTTGATGAAATGTGATAACGCTGATCTAAGACAGCATTCTTATTAAAATTACAGCTAGCTAGCTTTCAGGCTCCGTCTACTTGCTGGAAATGTTTGTTTTGGTTCAAATATTCTTATACTGCATTGATTGTGTAACACAAAGTCACATTTCTACAGCTGTATATTTGTTTTAGGGTTTATCACCGCTACTCGTTAGCAGAAAAAAATAGATAATTACACACGACGCATTGCTGATTAGCATGTTACAGCTATTAGCATGTTAATATAGCTTAGCACACGTTAGCTTCCGCAGCCTGTGATAAAATAAAACACTAGACATTAGTGAGTAGCTCAGACTCACCTCAAAAACTCCTCGCACTTACAAAAAAAATTCAGTACGCAAGCAGATAATCTCTGCTTGGTCAGGTCTGGTTAAAGAGCCTCTTCGCTTCCTGTTCTACTCTGATTGCGCTTCCGGCGTTTAATGCCAGCTCATCCCCATCCCGACACGTGATTGGATACAGTGAGATAGAGGGGCGGAGTAATAACCTAAATTCAAATTCAGAGAGCTTTATTGTCCTAAACATAACCCTTTTTTTTTACATAATTCTAAAGCATATGAACACACAAGTGTGAAGGTCAAAGTATTTATTTTGTCATATGCACAGTTAGGAAACGTGTTTCCCTGTACAATGAAATTCTTAATTTGCCGTCCACATGAATGCCACAAAATGCAAATGAAATATAAAGTAGATGAGCAATAACACAAATCTAAACAGGCAGTAAAATCACAAATCTACAGCACTTTAAAGCAAGCAGCAAGTGAAGGGAGCAAATAAAAATACAACAAGAACACAATATAATACAGAGAGAATATATGCTACATGGGAGCTGTGGAGTGTAGAGGATGGGACTGAGGACACATCCCTGTGGGGTGCCCATGTTTGTGATGATGCTGGCTAAGGCCCTATTGCCAATCTTGACAGTCTGGGGCCTGCCAGTCAGAAAGTCCAGGAGCCAGTCCGGGTGTGTGTGTGCCTCCTCTCTGTGCTGTGGCTGGAGGTCTCAACGCGGGTGTAGAAGGTGTTGAGGTCATCCGGCAGGCTGTCTGTGGAGCTGATGATGCTGGTGGTGGTCCTGTAGTCTGTGATGTGCTGCAGGCCACATTCGTCCAGAGTCAGCAGTAGAATAGAAGCCATTCAGCTTCTCTCTGTACTATAATAAAGCCAGTAAATGTAACCAAAAAAAAAAGTTCATTTTGTGCCTGCATATGCAGATTACTGTCCCCATAATGCCATTCCATCTAAGACTAATATTGACTCTCATATCAGAATCAGGTACATCGGCTCTCGATGTGCTGATTTCAGATATTCTGATTTCATGACTATGACAACCTGACCCTAGCATTTGGAATCACATTGATATCATCAGTGGTTTGAAAGTTATTCAAGAAAGCAATATTTCAGTAATGGTAGTTCTCTTCAGGATCTAGCTCAGTAACTGATGAAGATATGTTCAATCTGTTAACGCCTGCTGAGTCAGCAATGTTTCAGCTAGCATTTGATCTTAGCTGCATATGTGTAGCATTATCTTTTGTCTCATTGGAATCAGTTCTCCCTGAGCTCTATAAATGTGAACAATCTGGTTCATCCAGATCAGACTTTGATGTTTGACACATCTTATGCCGATATTATCATGCAGTTTTTGTCCAAGCACTATAGGCACTGTGTATGGCGTTAGATGCAGTCGTCTCCCAACCGGAAGGTTGAAGGTTTGAATCTCGGTGCCTGCAGTTGACGTGTCAAAGTGTCCAAGACAGTGACCCCCCCCCCACCTATATATTACACATTATATTATACTGTATACAGACTACAGTAGGCCTGTCTATAAACATAAATAAGTTAAATTCAAATTAATACTTACAATAAAGTAAGGAAAATCTAGTTTATATACTCCATAGCATAGCAAAACTTTATTTGTGCTGTTAATAACAATAGTTAATACTAACAATAAAATAAAATAAAAAACTCTCTTTTTTACGCAGTTCCCTCTCTTGACCAGCAGATGGAGACATCGTCTACAGAAAACGACCTGCATCCATGGTGAGTGGACGCAGAGAGGGGGAACACATGAAGACGTCTCACTCGGACCGATTTTACACGAACGAAGAAAACAACACTCTGCTCTCTGTCACGTTACTATTCAGACGGGTTCTGTCTCTGTGCATATGTGACAGAAAGAGAGAGAGATGAGTCTCCACAATGTAAGTAATACAAGCCCCCCAACGGTAAATGGAGTTATGCTTGCTTGTATAGCACTTTTCTACAGCACAGTCAAAGTGCTGTCCCACTATTTGTACCCCCCACAACCACCACCACACACACACACCTGTGTTTATGTCCCTGTCTCTGGTTGTATGTTTTCTTCACCTTCTTCTTTTGTCTTCCTCACCCTTCCTCGCCCTCTTCCTGTCTGTTTCACCCCCCGTCCTAAATCACACATTAAACCTTGTTAAAGGTTTTCTCTGATCTCTGGGCAGAGCAGAGTCAAACAGAGGCACCAAGACACTCGATTGGCTGATGCCATTTACTGGGCCGCCAATGGAAAAAATGCTAAAATAAACAATTAAAAAATAAAATTTCTAATTTCACTGATGCCAAACTCATAAAGCAGCTTTTTGCCAACAGCTGTGACACTGCTGTCATTGTTCACAGAGGTGCTTTGCACCTTGTGTTTGTCCAGAGGACATAAAGTACCGGCACTAAGAGGCAGATAGGGTCTCATCATCCCTGGCAGAGTGTCTTCCTTGACAACACTGGAGGAAGTTACAATCATATTTTGTCCACAATTCCTAGGGAAAACAAAGATCTGTTGAGAATCTGTTTTTCATGACAAGTAAAAAATAAACAATAATATGAAAGGCAGATAAGTGGATGATATTAAACCAAAGACACAACAGGTCTGATAAAGACTCTACGTTGTCCACGTCTCTCCATCCAGGATCTCACCCAAACTCTGCACCTTTTCCCTCTTCTCACTGCATATAAACAGTGCATGCTGCTGGTTGGCATCCATATTTGTTTTGGTACAGGAACATGCATTTGCAGGTTCATCCACGGCCAGATGTTCCAGTTGTTAACAGACAGCGGGTCAGTCTGATGGCCCGTTGTACAGTGTGTGTGCTTCTTCTTGACTCTCAAGGACTAACAATCTGCACCAGCTGGAGGAAGCAGTCTTTGAGTGTCCGGTCTCAGAAAGCCTCAGCCAGTCGTCACCTGTGTCCCGACTTTTACAGTCACAGTGACATCGCACTTGCACACAGCTGATGTCTTGTGCTGGGGGGTGTATCCCCAGCAACTCATCAAGCTGTTTTATACAACTTGGTCACAGCTGAATTCAAGAGATCCCAGAATGCCCTTTTCTCCAGCGTCACCAAGAAAACCCAGATCCTCAGGAGGTTGTATATCATGGCTGCAGTGAGCTTTGTAGCCCGGAGGAGACACTAGCAGCACTTCACCCTATCACTGTGCTGGATCTGCAGACACCTTCATGCATAAAGCAGAACCATGAGGTCTGCTCCTCTGAAGCCTTTCAGGTCTCACCCTCTTCGCTGACACATATACATTTCTGCATCTGGAGGTGTAATGGTCAGCCATGCTTTACTGTCTCTTATTGTTGGAGTCTGGCTTTTAACTGTCATCTGTCTAACAGAATTATGTTTGAGACTCATCGATCAGCTGCAACATTAAACCCTGGCGAGTGTGTGTGTGCTGTTATCAGCGCTGTGCAGCCCCCTGATTCTGGCAGAGTCAGTTCATGCAGCGGGTAATGTGTCCTTGTGCTGGAGAGAGCGAGTGTTTGAGTCATGGTGCATGGATAAAACGATTAGGGAAATACAGACAAGAGGAGGAAGGAAGGAAAGAAGGACTCTGGAGAGGAGAGGAAGGTGGAGGAGCAGAGAGGAGGAGAGGAAAAGAAAAGAGGACACAAAAAGGAGAGGAAAGGGAAGAAGGAAAATTACAAAAGAGGAAAGGAAAAGAGAAGTGAGGAAACAGGGCAAGGAATGAAGCAAAGGAGAGGAAAAGAAAAAAGGAAAATGAAAGAAACGAATCAAAAGAAAAGGAAAGAGAGGAAATGTAAGGAACCAAGATGATGAAGCAAAGAAAAGAAAACAAAGGGAAAAGTAGAGGAGATGAAAAGAGGAAAGATGGAGAGGAAACAAGCAAACGAGAGGCATAAACTGAGATAAGTGACCAGCCTGAGCTTTGATTCTTTAGAGAAATGAAAATATGACAAGAGAGAAGACAGCAGAGAGAGAGGACAGACACTAAAATAGAGATGGGGGAATAAACGTGAAAAAGGAGGGACAGCCCAAAACCCTGCAGGGGTCTCTCAGTGGCTGTGTGTGTGTGTGTGTGTGTGTGTGTGTGTCACCCATTAACTCTTTATGTTCCAGGTTCATAGAAGGAGGATTATAAACAGTGGCGCCCACAGGTGAAGAACTGGTTCTGACTGAAGGAAAATGGTCTAGAAGTCTGCAGCCATGTCAGCAGCTCTATGAGGCTCTACCAGTGCTTTGAGCTAAATGCTAATATCAGAATGCTAACACACTCACAGTGACAACATATAACCTCTGCAGCGTGTCCTGGGCCTACACCAGGTGCCGCTGGGTGGTGTTGAAACAGCAGACAGGATGCAAAGTTTAACGGTTTATTATCAACACAAACTAACCAGACTACTGTGAGCCTTGGCACCAGATAGCCAGACGCAGAGTTGATCACAGGCATATGAACAGTCTGAACAAAGCAACAGATCCATGGGAGTCCAGCAAGTGAGCAGAGTCTCAACACAGGTAAATCTGAAACAAACAGGTAAACAGGTAGTGTGCGGTGGAAATGAGGCTGCGAGCACAAACACTACAAAAAGATAATCTGCAAAGGGCAAAGGAAACAGCCAAGTACCAATACGGTGGAGCTAATCAGAGACATAGACACAGGTGTGGTGGGAGAGGGGGTCAGGACGGGACAAAAAGGGAACGAGTAGCGGGTATGTAGGGCAGAGATGGAGGAAAAATCCAAGGATTGGGTGGGGAAGACAGAGACAGGGTGTGACACAGCCTTCTACATGTTGGATGTGCCCAGAAAACCTGCAGCAGGATCCCGATAAGGTGCCCGAGCCGCCTTCGCTGGCTCCTATTATGAATACAGTTAGAAAGCAAGCACAGGACCTCAGTCCATGTTGGGAAAGGAAGCTAGGCCACATATGGGGTCAAACTCTGCCCATGTGTAAAATGACTTCCTGACTCTCTAGAGTAAGCCACGATTTTCAAATGATACCAGACTTCACTCATTAAAGATGAGCATCATGTGACCAGCCGACACCCAATCATAAATTATGCAGAAGCTGCTGCGCTGTTGCTAGGCAGGGTCTGCTCCAGCAGCTCCTGGGGACACCTCCCAGTCTCTGGGTGGTGTCAGAGTACAAA